CGCGAAACCCTAGTCCCGAAACCCTATACCATACTAAATCCAGCACCGTAGGCTAATTGAAGCAGGCTATTCAGAAGGATCGCTGTTGAAGCTCGTTCGGGGCACGGACGAAGTGGAGACCCGGCTGATCAGAAGGTTGTTGACTTCTTCGGACTTGAAGCCCGAGCCCTTAAACTGCAAACCATAAGCCTTCAAGCCGTCTACCTGCAACTTAAAGCCCTAAACTCCTCGCCCAAAGATCTTCCAGTATAAGCTGTTTCAACCCTAAAGGTTTAGGGTTTGGGATGTGGGGTTTAGGGTTTGGGGTTGTTCGTACTCTTCTAGGTCCCACCTTGAAGGAACCCTTCCGAAATCTTTCCCTAAGTCCCCAGGTACCTACTATATAGGGTACTAGAGCCCCTAGGCCCCAAAATAGTAGGTACCTGGAGGGTTCGGGTCAGTTTTGCCCTAAACCCTAAACCCTAAACCCTAAACCCTAAACCCTAAACCCTAAACCCAACAACCCTTCCCAAATCAGATCGAAGCAAAGGAAGATGATGGGCGAAGTGTCCTTGAGCATACCCTAAACCCTAAACCCTAAACCCTAAACCCAACAACCCTTCCCAAATCTTTCCTAGATCGAAGCAAAGGAAGATGATGGGCGAAGTGTCCTTGAACATACCCTAAACCCTATAAACCCTAAACCCTAAACCCTAAACCCTAAACCCTAAACCCAACAACCCTTCCCAAATCTTTCCTAGATCGAAGCAAAGGAAGATGATGGGCGAAGTGTTTTTGAACATACCCTAAACCCTAAACCATAAACCCCAAACCCTAAACCCTAAACCCTAAACCCTAGATCGAAGCAAAGGAAGATGATGGGCGAAGTGTCCTTGAACATGGCATCGAGGACGGTGACACGCTGACGATCATCCTGTTGCCTGCCAGGTTTTAGGTGGCTTAAGGATTTGGGTTTAGGGTTTAGGGTTTTGTTGATGGGTTCGCCCATCTTCTTGATCATCAATAATCATGATGCCAAAACCCAAGCAGTCTCACACCATGAAGCGAATTGGAGGGGCCGAAGCCCCGATCACTATTTTACTCAAGCAAGAAAGTCAGAGCATGTCATGTTGAAGTCTACTGGCTTGGGTTGTACAAGGTAGCCAGCTGTTGTCTTCATATATGAAAAGAGCTTCTGCTACATATTGCTTTACATTGTAGCATCTGCTGTAAAGTCGTTGGACATGTCGTGACCCAAGGGACATGATCTTCGTAGCCTTTCCCTTGATCACAACATATATACAAGGAAAGCACTCCTGGACATGCGGCTTGCGAAAGGGATTTCTGCACTCCTCCTCGCTCGACTCGATAGGGGCGCAGCGTTACAATTCCTTCCACTTGGCTATTGTCCGGGATGCTTCTTCTCTTGACCTCAGGCAGGACCAAGTGAGTAGCGCTCGACCACTCAAATTCCTGTCCCTCCACAGCCACAAAAGGTACTTCATTTGTCTGACTGTAGGACCGACTGATGTCCCTAGCTGAGAAGATAGGACCTCGGCCAGTCTCGATGCTGCGTCAGTCTTGACACCAGAAATCATCAATCCATTCAGCCGTAGGCCCTCCCGGATCTCCTCCAGCCTCATGAGCATCACGACATCCAGACACACCCTCGAAGTCTCTCCTACGCTCATTCGATCTCCTTGTTGAAGGTTCTGACTCACAGATATAGTAGGTGGACTTATGGATGGTGCTGCTGGAGGGGTACCTGGAATCGGAGAGGGCGGTGGCTCCTGAGAATATCCCACATCCTGTCGAACTGTTCTTCTTCTTAGTGGCGAAATAGCATAGTCTCTCTGATCCTGCTCTGGTACGGGTGGAGTTGGTGGTCGTCGTCGCGGTGGTGTATCAGCCATTAGCGTCGAGGAACCCGAAGAACTTGTAGAAGGCTGAGTCCTCATCATATGCTCTTCGATCTCCTTTTCGATTGCCTGCGCAGTAGCCTTCCTCAACCGCTGTAGTCGTCGCATTCTCCTGGTAGTCGCTCCTGGCAAGTACTGGTAGTAGATCTCGATGGCACTCCAACGCACCGCTTCATAGATCATCAATCCTCCCAGAATCATCAGCAAGATCATGAGGATCGCTGCCAAGTCCCAGTCCACCTGTAGCGCTGGCATAGCCGACGATTCTCTAGCTTCCACAGATATCATCATCAAGCAACAGACCATGGCCACCAGCATCCTTGTTGTAATTGCCGTCTGGGATGCCCGACAAATCCTCACCTTGTCGGACTCCCCCTTTGCCATGCCCCACAGTTTTAGTAGGTCCCATATTCGCTGCGCAGCCAGGGGCTTTGTAAGTAGGTCCGCGGGTTGATGAAGTCCTGGTTGGTGTCGTGGTACAATTTCTCCACTAGCTATCTTTTCCTGAATCCATGCTGACTTCAGCCTCAAGTGTCTTGTTCTCCAACTTCCAGTGCCAGAGCCAATTGCAATAGCACTTGTGGAGTCGCTAGCGATCACCTTCGGCTCTGGCTCCACATGTAGATCCATCAACATAGCCTCCAACCCCATCATTCCCACAGACCCATCTATTATGGCCTGCAGCTCACTTTCCGCCGTTGAGAGCGTTATGGCTCCCTGCCTCGCACTTCTCCACGAGATAGGTGTCCCGCCCCAGCACACCAGCCATCCGGTGTGAGACCGGCCACTAGACGGCGCAAACGCCGCATCGGGGTAGAGCATCAGGCTGGTGCCGTCGTCCTGAACCGCCATCTTCGTGTCTTTGGTAGCCTGGAGGTAGCGGAGCCACTTAAACCCTATTTCCACACACCGAGCCGGAGCCTTCAACGTTATAGCTGCCATCAAGCAAGACGTAAATGACACATCTGGCCTTGTCTTGTGAGCCACCCACATCACTTCACCTGTGATCTTCTGAGCCTCTGCTATAGACTGCGGTGTTGGCTCTTCATCTCCCTCAATGGTCTCGAAGTAGGCGGCCTCCTTGCTCAGCGGGATCTTGTCTTTCTCATCCGATTTGAAGCCATAGGATCTCAAGACCTCCTCCAAGTAGCCCCGCTGGCTTAGGTACACCGTAGTTTCGGTCTCGTTCACCTCCAATTCCATACCCAGGAACCGCAGGGGCTGCCTTGGACGGAGTATCATTAGCTCGGACGTCTTCCACTCTCTTTGTACTGTCGTGGCAATGTCCTTGATCAGCTCCTCCTCACCTAGCAGCAAGAGATCGTCTACGTATATTATGATGACCGCCTTGACAATGTCCCTTTTGTCCCTCAAGACCCACCATGCTGTGACCGTTCTTCCTCGATGTAACCGCATACCCATTGGAAACTCCATTGACTGTAAGACACTGTCTCTGTAAGTGCTCCACAGTGCCGGAGCCTGTCTGAGTCCATATAGGGCTCTCACCAAACCCCAAAGTTCATCATCTTGGATTAGTGAAAGGCGGGCAAGTAATCGAGGAGGTGTAACCACTATTGTTGGTGCTCCTTTGCTCCAGTCCAGCGGGGTCCTCAAAAACGCGGCGACAACGTCTATCAAGCCTATCGCCCATCGTCTCCTCCTGGAAAGTAGTAATCCCATCCGGACGGACTCTGATGGAGCTGTTTCTGAATAGAGCTCACTGTTGTCGCTAGTGGCATAGTTTCCACAAACCACCAGACGCGCCTTTCTTTTGTACCAAGTCGACGGCTGATCTGCCACCGGGGAATCTCCAGGCTTTATTGTAAACACCATCTTTGTAGGAAGTCGCTGTGCCCCAGGTCGCTGTAGCCATTCTGCGCGCTCTGCAGTACCAGGTAGTAGCCGTCGTATCGCCACGGCAACCCCGTTCACTTCCTTTTCGATGGCTGCTGTCCAGGCTGGTAGGTTGGCTGCCACCTCTCGTGGGTCCACGTTGTACGTCACCTCCAGAGGCGCCGTCAGGCCATCCAGGATCTTCTCGATTCCCTTTGTATATCCTACTTCCAGCTTGAACATTCCTGGTAGTTGCCCTTCCGGTGACTCAGAACTATCACCAATCTTCACGTAGCCCCCGTCGAGGTCGAGGAACATTTCCCAGTCTTCCACTTCAGGATCAACCACGATCTCCTCCTCAGATTGTATAGTGCTGGGTCCTGGCATAGGCATGCTACCTTCCGCGTTCATCTGATTCACCACTGCTGTAGTCTTCAGGAAGTACTCTGGTAGTTGAGATAGTGGTGGAGGATAGCCGTGGCTCTCTAGCTGATGTATCTTGCCCTGGTCCAGCTTGCCCATGCACTGCGGGGTGTACGCAACCAAAACCGTCCTTGAGTTTCATGACCTGGCCGTACCTGGGCTGTTGATCGTCCATGCGCTCCACAATCTCACCGCTCACCTTATCCCCTGCTGACAACTCCACCCACAGCTCTCCACCCTTCTTTGGTAGCCTTATAGGGTACACATAGTTCAACGCGTTCTCATCGTTGTTGACATCCTTGTGCATGCCCTTGTCCATATTCCTGCCGACCAGAATTGCTGTGAAGGTTGCCTCCGGGTTGGCGGTAAGGATGATGCGGGAGAGAACCTTTGAAAGTTCCGGGTGCTCAGAAAAACCTCGCATCCAGCCCACGGCTCCGCCATGTCTAAAGATCCCGAACTTGAGCTCATCAAAGAACCCTGCTTCGGCCAATTCATCCACCAGCTTAACCGCCTCCTCCTGGTTCCATTCTTCAAGTAGTAGCCGTGCCTTTGTCCCCACATAGTCGTCCAAATCTAAGCTCTTGTGATTTACTGAACGAAGTTCCACATGCTCTGCCGGTGTCTTCGTAGTCAACTTCCTCCTTGGCTTGACCATATGGGGAATCAGCTCTGGGCACACTGGAGGGCCGGGATCCCTTAGCTGGCTCCGAACATGGAAGGTGTGCACAAAGCGCTCCCTCTCACCATTCTTGCCGGGAACATAGACCACGTGTCCATTGTCCAGAAGGTTGCTCAACCCAACATAGACCCCCGACTCCCAACGTGTCTCAAACGCTCGCTCCCTTCTTCGCGGTCCTGACGAGTCAAAGGCCTTCTGCTTGATATGGACCCTTGCCCCATATGGTGCCAGCATCTTCTGCTTCCATCCCAGAACCTTGCTGCGCTGCATAGCCGTTGCTGCTTCTATCGCCGTGGGCCACAGACGGGTAGGTAGGCCAGCTCCCAAGAGTAGAGACCGTGACCGGTCCTTCACCCATCTTACTGCATTTTCTACTCGCCCGTTCCCTTGGGGAATTCCAGCTTCTGAATACGTAGCTCTGATGCCCTGCTCCTTCAGCCAATTCCTCATGCTGTGGCTGTACGTTTCCCCCTTGTCTGAGTGCAACCTGTACACCGGTAATCCATGTGCACCCAAGTAGAGGATCACGTCCTGCAGAGCCCCTTTAACAGAGGCCGTCGTATTGGATGGTAGCGCCCTGGCAAACAGAAGGTAAGTTGTCTTCGGGGCCTCGCAATCGGGGAAAGGAACAGGTGAGTTCTGTGCTTGACTGGCGGGAGCTTGTGCTTGTAGATCCTCATCTCCATCGTCCTTAACCTGGTCTAACTCCGGGATCGAAGGCTCATACATCGAATCATCCCAGTCCTCCTTCTCATAGTCCGCCCTCTGCGCTGACGAACTTCCTGCGAAAACTGGTACTTTGCCCCCGAGTATCGACTCTAAGTTGCCACTATAGCCCTGCTCACCCGACTCATCTTCGTCATGATAAATAGGACCCTGCTCACCCGACTCATCTTCATCAAATTTTTACGGATCCCCTTCTTCGTGTGGTGGTAGTAGAGAAGGTGTCTTGAGTTCGTCGCCAGACTTCTCATCTACTCTGTCGCTATTCACATCAGTCAACGGATCCCCTTCTTCATGTGGTGGTAGTAGAGAAGGTGTCTTGAGTTCTTCGCCAGACTTTTCATCTACTCTAACACCATGCGCCTCAGTTAACGGATCCCCTTCTTCATGTGGTGGTAGTAGAGAAGGTGTTTTAAGTTCTTTGCCAGCTCCCTCCTCCTCCTCTAATCCATCATCATCGGGGGGACCTCGTCCGGTGTAGCCCTTCACGTACTCCGCGGGAAAGACATACTTTGCGATCATGAGGTAGCGTAAGTTCTTTCCTAGGGTTCCCTTGGAGGTAGCGTCAAGTCCTGGGTTCGCTGGTCCAGCCATATCAACTGTCAAAGAGAAAACATCTGGATGCCGAACTCTTGCATGACGTCGACCTGTACCTCGGGACGTCACGCACGTCAGACATTCACGATTGTAGTCAGCGTGACCTGATTGAACATGCCGGCGCCATTGTTCTGCCGTTAGCGCTCTGAGTGACGGGAGACATTGAGGACGCCTGATCCAGAATCTGAGGGCCATAACTATGCCATCCACCAAACCTGGTGACCAGTCCCCATTGTCGCAACTCCCAGCTGTGACCTCGTCCCTTTCATCTGCTGGGCGCAGTCCATCCAGGCCCATCAGGTAGTAGACGTTGGTCCCAATGGTCGTGACGTTTCTCGCTACACCACCCATAGTCGCCTGGTCGAACGTGGCCACTGACATATCCATTTCCTCTTTGAATTCCTTCCAGGCCGCCGTTCTCCACAGTGACTGACTGCCTCTGACTTCCTCTGCAGGGTGCTCAATGACGAAAGCCACCGGACGATCTCGATGATGCGGTGTGCCTCCCACTTCTCTGGCCGCCTTGGATACGGCGTACAACCACAGCATCCGCGTAATTGCGCTGAGGGCCTTCGTATCCTTGCCGCCCTCCCTGTCTGCATGTAGAAGTCGCGCACCTCGCCCAGGGGGGCCTCCAATTATCCCATCTATCCGTCCGGTCATAGCACCCCACAGGAGCAGTCGCCATACTGGATCTCGTAGAACATCTTGGCCACGACACCTGTTCACATCCAGCTCAAGGACCACCGTGTCTCCTTCGTCCAACTGGAAGAACTGATTGTGACCAGGGCTGCCCGCAAACAGATGTACCACCCACTTCTTAGCTGCCCACAAGTGTCGCTTCTGCGGTCTCGTAAGGAAGTCAATACCCTTCATGATCTTCCACCCTTCTTCACGAACGCCCGCTTGAATCAACCCATTGATGCAGTCGCCTGGGATGTCCTGAAGGAAGGGTGAATCCCGCACGCTCTTTAGGCCAGCCTCCATCGTTCCATCCTTCACGTACTCCTTCAAGTGGTCGATCCAGGACTTGTCCAGTGAAGCCGCAGCTAGGGTGACCCGGTCCATCGTGATTGCGGTCACATTCTCCAGGCGCTCTCGCTTTCTGTCCTCCAGCCGCGCTATCATGGATAGTGCCTCGGCCTCTTGTAGGTGGGGGCAGCCCCCAGAAACCTTGAGCTCACGCTCCAGTCCTTCCGGGTCTCGTAGGATACATCCATCTGGTGACCATATTAACGTGTAACCCAGAGTCTTGACGAGCTCACCCAGAGGAACTATGGTTTGCCCTCCTGTAGAAGCCGCCGTTGTAGTCGTAGCGCTGGGTCGTGGCGGCATCAACAACGACCCTGAAGCCCCCAGCCTCATCGTCAGTGACTTATTTCCCGCCAGCTGAACCACAACTTCCTCCGCGCTCTGCCATTCCTCACTGTCCACTGCATTCCTTAGACAGTGAGTTGCACCTGAGTCTAGCAAAGCTGAGGTTGAAGAGTCCACCGATGAAACCCGAATGTCTCTTATCGATAACACCCTGATCTCAGGTCTCACCTTCTCGGGGGAAGAGTCTCCGGAGATCCCTGTCGCCGCCTGGTTCTGAATGACCTGTTGCGCTGCTTGGACCAGGTTCTCGATTGTCCATGGAACACCCTGAACTGGTCCTTCCGTCGAGTTCATAGTGGAGGATGCCGTTGGTATCGTTGACAGTCCTGGCGTTGGAGCTCCTGCCTTTTCAAGCGTCCTCGGTTGGAGGGGGGTAGTAGTTGATCCCTGCTTAGGTTGTTGCTTCCCCACTGGACATTCCCGAGCTCGATGGGCTTCGCTTCCGCACCTCAGACACTTCTTCGCTCGGAGCTCTTTGTCCATCTGAAGCATAGAGTGTGAGTAGGAACACCGATCTCCACGCTTGCACCCCGTGGGCTTCGCGAAGTAGCGGCACAACTCGCCTGCCTTGTCCTTCGTTCTGGTTGGCGACTTAGGGGATGCCCCCGTGGTTGTTCCTGTCACCTCCATCGCTCTCGCCTTCGGTACCACCGGAGATGTAGTCGAAACCGGCATGGCCGCCACAAGGCTCTCCATCTCCGCTTGGATATGTCTCTGGTACGACTGCACCTGCTCCATCGTCGGCTGCCCGTCCAATCTCAAGCTCGTCCGCAGCATTGCGGTTCTGAACGCAGAATCCGGCGACCCTTGAAGATGTCGCTCCGATAGGTGGCAAAGTCCTCTCGCCATCACTGTCGAGTCCGGCGGCATCATCCCCATCTTGCGACACCTGGCCAACCACCGAGGCCACTCGCGGATCTCCTTGAGCGCGTCCCGGATGCCAGCACTCGCCTCGACGAACTCATGAGGAACTTGGAGACGGCGTAGGACTTCTTCTTGTTCTGCAGCGCCCCCTGGCTGGTACCAGGTAAAAAGTCTGAACATCATTTCCGGGGCGTTCTGCGTTATCCGCTGAGATATCATATCCGACCGTAGCTCAGACCCCATAGCCTGAAGGAGAAGTGACGTCACCCTTGCGTTCAATCTCGTCCATCGGGATCCAATAAGATCCTCTGTTCCCTCCGGGGCTATTGCCAGCCTTTCCAGGGGTGCTGCGCTCAGCCATCGGACATATGCGCTCTCAACGATCATCATTACCGACCTCCACCAAGCTCCAGACTGCTCCGATATATCAGCCATTGAGGACGAAGCAACCTCTAGCCAATCCTGAAACAACAGCGCCGACTGACCTCCCCGAACATCTGGTAGCTCTGCCAAAGTGCCTGTTCCAGGCTTCACCATCTCCGACTGTAACGCTGAGGTTCTCGTCAGTGCCTGGGCCTGAAGCTCTTGGAGCTGCTGCATTCCCTTTGCTATTGCTTCCAACATCGGGGAATCTTGCCCTTGGGGTTCTCGCGGTGGTGGAGGTGTAGGCGATCTTGCCCTGGTACTTCCCAATAGACCCCTAAGGAATCCCTGCGGCTCCTGGCTGGGCTGTGGCTGTTGTCCAGGTGCTTGGTCCTGAGCTTCCCGTTGATCGCGTGGTACTCCCGGCGGCCCATGTAGATTAAGATTAGGCCCTTGATATTCTAGTGAAGGTCGTGGTAGAACAGGTGGTTCATGTAGAAAGCTCTGCTGCTGCTGGGGTTCTATAGATCCTTGGGGTAGTCCCGGAATCTCATGTAGGAACCCTCCGAAACCTGGAAGCTCTCCCTGACCCCTTTGTAGTCCTGGTAGTTCCTGTAGATCTCTTCCGTGAGTCTGCTCCTGATTGAAGGGCTCCGGCGACGGCTGAGGTCCTGAGGGCGCTTCCAGCAGACTAGCCAGCAATCTGCCCGACGATCCTGCTCCACTTCTCCGAGTAGCTCCTGACCGCATTTCCTCAGCCTCAATCCGGGCCCTCTCTAGCTCACGAAGTAGCTGACCATTCCGAGACTCTGCTTCATCTAGCCTGCTAAGGAGACTTCCCAGCTGACGCTGCACTTCCTGCTGTATTGCTTCGGCTGGGATCGACGAGCTGCTCGGTGGTGTAGGCGGGCGCCGGTTAGGGCGCTGTCGTGTTGGTGACCTCAACGTAAACGTCGGTCCCCCTGGCGGCGAAGCTTGACTTGGAAGCGGACTCGGGAGGTTTGGGAATATGTCTGGTGATCCCGCTTGTCCCATGTAGGTACCCAACCGCGCCATCCAGCGCGGCCACTCCAGCTGTCCTAGCCACCCGCCTTGTCCATGCATGGTTGCCACTGACCGTGGCGTCAAGAATTCCGACGGCGTCACCGTCCTGGTCGACGCACCGATTGCCGGCGCCGGTTCACTGCCCAGATCCAGAGACGTTTGGACGCTCGGTCGTCCACCCTGCTCTTGTCCAGATACAGGCACCGCGCTTGCCAGCGGGGCGTCGCTGATCGCTCCTGCCTCGGGAGCAGTGAGCCCAGCAGTCTGAATCATTTCACTGCCTTGCACGCCACCTCTTGCTCCAGAGTTCACTGCAGTATTATCATTGGCCGCACCTCCAGTCCCAGGCAAAACGCCGTTAGCAACCGGTCCTGCAGCATCGGGGGTTTGTAGCGAAGTGCTTCGCGCTCCTTGGGCGCTCATAACCTGTTGATGGGTTCGCCCATCTTCTTGATCATCAATAATCATGATGCCAAAACCCAAGCAGTCTCACACCATGAAGCGAATTGGAGGGGCCGAAGCCCCGATCACTATTTTACTCAAGCAAGAAAGTCAGAGCATGTCATGTTGAAGTCTACTGGCTTGGGTTGTACAAGGTAGCCAGCTGTTGTCTTCACATATGAAAAGAGCTTCTGCTACATATTGCTTTACATTGTAGCATCTGCTGTAAAGTCGTTGGACATGTCGTGACCCAAGGGACCTGATCTTCGTAGCCTTTCCCTTGATCACAACATATATACAAGGAAAGCACTCCTGGACATGCGGCTTGCGAAAGGGATTTCTGCAGGTTTAGGGTTTAGGGTTTAGGGTTTAGGGATTTGGGTTTAGCGTTTAGGGTTTAGGGTTTAGGGTTTAGGGTTTAGGGCGGGTTTGAGTATGTGGTACTATGGCAGGACGTTGTAGTCTCCGTACCACTATGCTAGACTATCAGGTGCACTAAACCCCGCATTAAGTCTACCAAGCCCCCCCCCCCCCCACGCCGGATAGAAAGCCTTTTGAGGGGAGTGTCCTGGTGTTCGTGTCTTGGGTTTAAGGTTTAAGGCTAGAGTTTTGAGTTGAGGGTTCTGGGTCTCGGGATTGTAGTGATTCAAGTTCAGAGTTTGGGGTATGAGGTTTCGAGTGTCGCTTGGGGTTGATTTCCGGGCTTAAGGTGTAGGGTTGAAAGGGTCCTGAGGTGCGACTGCGCAGTGCCTTAGGCTTGGCACTGAGAGTTCATAGTTTCCACCCCGTAGCTTCTGTTCACAGAGGCCTAAACCCTGAGCCCTAAGCCCTTTAACCCGAAACCCTAAACCCTAAACCCTAAAAAAAACCTTAAAACCCGAAACCCGAATTAAACCCTAAACCCTAAAACTCGCATGTATGTCGTATGAGTCCGAAACGGCTGGATCCTGAATCTGCCAATCCGGGCCCTCATCTTTCACTGAGCGATCTGTCTGCACCATAGGCTGAGGGTTTAGGATTTGGGGATTAGGGTCTATAGGGCATACCCCAAGAAGGAAAGATCGACCGCTGAGGTGCCAGATTTACTTGGAATTGAAGCCTAAACCATACCCGGACCCCAAGAGTATGTAGGATAAGAGCCTTTCATCGGTTTTATGCATTTTTCCCTGACCTTTGAGGGTTTGGGTTTAGGGTTTAGGGCTTAGGGCTTAGGGTTTAGGGTTTAGGGGTTTAGGGTTTAGGGTTTAGGTAAGCGCTCTAAACCCTAAACCCTGCATGTGTAAAGGTTAAAAACCCTAAACCCTAAACCCTAAACCCTAAACCCTAAACCCTGCATGTCTAAAGGTTAAGCTCCCGAAACCCTAAACCCAAGAGGTCCTTTAGGGTTTAGGGTTTAGGGTTTAGGGTTCAGGGTTTAGGGATGAGGGGTACCCTAAACCCTGATTCCCAATATAGACACCCCTACATTCTACTATGTAGGCAGCTAGAGGAGCCTCTGGGTAAGGGCTCCGGGTTTAGGGAGTTTAGGGTTTGGGTTTAGGGTTTAGGGTTTAGGGTTTAGGGTTTAGGGTTTAGGGAGTTTAGGGTTTTCCTGTAGGGGCCTTATATTAATTAGAAGAGGGTTTCGGGGTGTATTATATACTAATAAATACTCATAAGAATAAGGAGCCCCCCCCCCAAAAAAAAAATAGTATTGATATTTATTTAGGCCCCTACATTAGGGTTTAGGTTTAGGGTTAAACCCTAAACCCTAAACCCTAAACCCTAAACCCTAAACCCTAAACCCCTAAACCCTAAGGCTCAACTCTTAATCTGCCGCCCAGGCAAAAGTCACGCTGGCAGTCGCTCGCGGCAAATGTTCGGATGGGGAGGCTTGGGCACCTTCGTGCAGCACGAGCATTTCCAGAGGCAGGATAGATGGGGTTTAGGGTTTAGGGTTTAGGGTTCAGGGTTTAGGGTTTAGGGTTCAGAGTTTGCAGGATCTACGAACTAGAGCCTGTGAAAGCGGACCCGGAAAGCCGCGGATGTCGATGTTTAGGCTTCAGGCTTTCTCGCCACCTGTACAGGGCTTGAGTGGCCTTCTCGGGCAGAGTTTTGGCATCCGACAGAGCTGTGCTCTTCGCAGCAAGCTTCCTCCACCCAACCCCAGATCCAGCACTCTAAACCCTATACCCTAAACCCTAACCTTTCATAAGCCCTGAATCCTCAAACCCTACAGACTCCGTTGCAAATCCCAAAGCCTCCCCAAGCCCTCATACCGTATCCTAAACTCCCAAGGCAGAAGCAGCTGCAGCGGTTCATCGCAACGTATTACAGGGGCCTTAATGATCAGAATAGTGTCGTTAACAAGCC